CTTGATATATTTTTATTATGAGAAAGATAGTCACAATTTAAATTGTGGACTGGTAGAGAGAGATCTAATATATTTTTATTATGAGAAGATAGTAACAAGACTTTAAATTGTGGACTCCTAGAGAGATCTAAAGGTTGCAATAATTCATCGTCATAAAATAAAACCTAGAAGACGAAAGAAAAACCATTATTTTATGATGAAAAATATCTAAAAATTGTGTTTGAAGATTACATGTGGGTAATTAATTTACTGTAAAGCATAATTTTACATTAGATCTCACTTAAACCTTTCCTCATAATATTAAATGAGATTTTGATATAATTAAAATGATCAAGTCGCAAAAATATTTTTGGAATAGAGGAAGTGATTGTAACACGAATATAAAAAAGACATTTGTCAACTATTTTCAACAACAATGGGAACCATTGCCAGAAGAGATCAATGAGTTTTTAAAATTTAGACGAACTATATGATAATGATACTTTTTGTACTGTGCTTATTACATATAAATAATTTCAATCTATCTCAATTATGTTGTAAGATTCTTTAGTTAAACAAACAAATTTTCACACTAAATTTTATAGAGGTATAAAGACAAATTTATTATCGATATTTTAAAAACTGGGCTAATAATTAAACAGATAAAAACATCAATTCACATTTTATTGGCTAAATCAGAGTTAACCATAGTCAACCAAGCAGTAGCAAAATTTATATTTTTGAATATTATAAAACGATTTAAGAAATACAACAATATAAAAATTATAAATTAATAACGAATAAATTTGATTTTTCCAAGATAATTATTAATAATAACGGACAAAATAATGTATACTTTTATGTAATTCTTAAATATTTGTTTTTATCTATCTTAATTAATAATATCTATCCAAACTCATTTTCGTCAATAACTTATTATTAATTTTAGATCAATTCTTGCAGGTTTTTTTTAGAAGAAATGACCTTTTGAAGTTCACGGACTAACCATTAAATTTTAGTTGTTTTTACCAAAGTGTTGTGTTATGTGATCAATAATACCCTGATAAAAAAAACTCGACCCAGTTTCTTCTTTTCTTACTAAACAAGTTCATTCTTAATCTCTTTCCTGTTTCAACAAGTAAAGACAAAAGTTGATAAAAAATACTATGTAGTATATGTTCTTCTGGCTTTACAAAAGCAATAAGCACTTTATTTAAGATAAGGACAAGACATTTTTTGATAACAAGATAGAGACAAAACATGACAACTAGCTACTTCTGTAGTATGAAATCTCACTCGTCCAAACTTTGATTGTGCCCAAAAAACCAGGTCATGCACAAATCCGTAATATTTATGATTCTATTTCATAAATCTTTCTACATCCACAACATAAACATTCTGCAATCAAAAGAATTCAAACAATCAAATTTCTACTTTCTATTACATAGTACATATCACTCAAACACAAAATTAAAGTCCCCAAATACAGAATCCAAGTTGTATACCTAATTTCTAGTTTTTGACAGAAAAATTAAAATCACTAAGATACATGCATGCACACATTGTACTTTATTAATCAGACATATAGTAGCCTTCCAGCATGTTTTCAAACATGTTATAGAAATAGAAGAATCGCGTCAAAGATGTGAAAAACCGGGTCTGAAATGTGAAACAGAACATAGTATTCATGTGTTCACGTCGCAAACTGGAGATCCAAGGAGAGGAACCTGACCCATAATACCTTTCTTCAGACCCATCAACACATCACACTTCACATATAATCCATAGTGTGCTGAGTTTATGTCACCAGCTTTCCACCTCAACCTTCCATACAACACAAGTTTCACACCCACCACCCCATAACTCTCGTCCATCACCAATCCATTCGTGACCTCCTCCGACGCCGGCACCGGCACGCCTCCGATCTCCGGCGACAGCGACACGGCGCTGTGCTTATCCAGGAAGAGCGGTGGAAGCATGACATGTGGCGTGATGGGTTGGTTTCGGTAGGAAACGTAGGCCGAGAGCCTGTCGAAGTAAATGGAGACACGCCTGTTAGGGTTTCTTATTACGACGTTGAATTGCATGGAGATGGATATGAGTGGCGGCGTTGTGGCGTTGAGGCCGTAGACAGCGGCGCTGGCCACCGTGAAACGCGGCTTGGAAGGGTGGTAGGCGAGCCAGAGGATGAGGAGTATGATGCCAAGTAAGAGGAGGAAAACGGTGATGCAAATGCAGTGTTGACGTTTGGGTGCATTGGGTCTGAAGCGTGAAGGTGTAGCTTTGTCCATGTTGTGGACTTGATGGTGAGGAACTTTGCCAGGGAAACGGTAGTGTGTGTAATGGGTAGGGTTAGGATTATGGTTAGGGTTATTAGGGATATGGTTAGGGTTAGGGATATGGTTGTGGTCTTCTTGATGCTGTATATGCATTTCTGCCATGTGAGGAGTCTTTGATATGCAGTTAAAGAGGTTGTGTTTGTGAGTGTTAGGTGTATCATATATGAAGATGGTTCTGTAGAAGTGGCAGCTACAAATGGTGGAGGTTGTGGAAATAGTGAAGAAGTTAAAAGGTGAAAGGAAATCCATATGAGACGGAATAGCAGGGAAACTTGGAATCAAAGCATGAGGGTGTGTTTCTCTCTTTTAGTTTTTTTAGATCATATCAATGGCTGATTATTGATCTCACTTGATGCTGTGTTTTACTTTTCTTTCTTCTTTTTTGTTTCCTGTTTTATGCCTTGCTTTGTCTTTATCCAACTTTGTTTCTTTATTTGCTTTTACCAACGTAACGTGAATAAGATACACCTAAGTTAACATGACACTCGTTTACATCTTTGTTTTAAAAAAATGTTAGATGTAGCTGCATAGAAATAGGTGCATATTTGATATTCAGAAAAACTAAAATATATTGTGTGGCACAATTAATAATCTCCTATAATTTAGAAGTTAAGATAAAACAATTTTTCCTATTTTATTTTTTAAAAATAATTTTGGTTCCATATGTCTAATAAAGATTCAATAATTTTTCTTGATTTACTTTTGACTTATGGTTCCTATGTTTTTTTTAAAGAACTCAATCTGTAGAATTAATTAGACTTAAATGTTTATTTTGTCCTCATGTTAAGAGTTGAATTTCTGTTTAGTATTCGGTTTTAAAAATGCTTTTATTTTATCCCAAAGTAGTATAAATTGTATCAATTAGATCCCTCCCGTGACGAATCTGCACTTTTTCTTCTCTCTCCTCTGTATTTTTTGCAATGTTCCAGCTTTTTATGTTCTTCTTCCTCACTTTTTCTTCTCTCTCCTCTACATTTTCTGCACTAATATATTGGATTGTAGTATTAGACTTCTTTTTCCATGGATGTGGCGGGTAAAACTCATTTACACAGATAATTCAAACCAAATTTTAAAAACCCACATTCATTTTTTAGCTTAAAAACATGCAAACTGACAACCACAAGGCTTGCGGGTTACATGGGTAGTCCGCGAGCCTTTGCCCAAATACCCAGTTCTAACCTAAAAAGCATCTAAAGTTTCTGTAATAAAATTTAAAGGTCATCCTAGAATAGCAATAGCTTAAAATAAAATTGACAATAATATTCTATAACGATTAAAGTATGTGAATTTGATTTTACATATGCACAACTATAATGAATAGTTGTGCAACACAACAGTCAAATTAATATATGAGATTGACTATATCATGTTGACTTGATGACGAACTACTTAAAAGAAGAAACAACACATAATAAAAATTACACCAATATTGTAGGAAAAATAAACCTTTTTACAGACTATAATTTATTTCTTCTCCAAATGTGTTCTTTTTTATTCTTTGAAAGACATCACATTCTCAAAAACTTCTCTATGACCAATATACTATCCTTTCACTATGTTAAATTACAAAATTATCTCTACTTGTATTCCACACATCACTCCCTATAGTGAGCCTCTTACCTAGAGACATCTTCCCTTCGAAAACTCTATTAAGGCTATAAAAATTGTAACTAGAATCATTAACCATAAGCACTCTTTTTACCCTCGGCAGAGCCAAATTATCTACCCATGGGGAAAGAAAAAGCAAATGATTGTATTATACATGTGAAGAAAACTAGCGCACCTGAGCAAAGGAAAACATCACCAGGTATAAGAGGTTAATATGAATGCATTGATCCAGTCCAAAAAAGCGATGAAATACTCAGTATACCACATTAATCCTGCAAATATAAAACCATCAAGTGCTTAGTAAATGTGTCAACTGAGGAGGTTCAATGATGCAACAACCACAGTAAGGTAGGTGCTACAGTGTTTAGTATGTGAACATTCATATATACGATGAGATATGCTTGCAAACCAAGGCAAAAAATTGTTTTTGGAGAAACAATGGTTGACCTTCCCTGGACTATTTTTTTTTTGGTACATAGCAAATATATTATTTATATATAATTGGGAAGTCCGGTCTAGAAAAAGGGGGGAGACGAATTTTCATCTGAAAGTTATCTTAGATCATATGTGACTATTTACAAGAGAAGAATACGTTCATAATTGGTGTCTAGAAGTACCTACAAAGACGATGGCTTAAACCTTGTACTCATGGAGATGCATCCACTTTATCGAAGACCATTTATTTTCTTTAATTACTGGATAACCACTTGGGAGCAATGATAAAATTTAAATTAATTTACTAGTCATTGCCTTCAAGGAACCAAAAGAAATTGTGAGAATAGAACACTGTGTCGTGTGGCTTTTAATTTCCACAAGTGGCAAGAAAAAATTATGGAATGAGATGGCAAGAATATTCTCAACATATGGTTCATACATAACATATTCATTATAATTTTCTCAGAGGCCTGAAATAGAGCAAGCACGCAAAAGAATAAACGCAGCAACAAATGCATACACCAAGCAGAGCCTAAATGTAGAAAAATGGCTCATAATTGAATGTGTAAAATATGGATAAATTGAACTTAACGCGCTATAGTAACAATCTGTATTTACAGCTCATTTGGTGACAATTATGAAGAGTTTCTAACCATGTAAACTAGATGGATCTAATGAGGCATCAGGCCTCATGCTCCAAAATAGCAGAGTGTCTCCCCTTTTTGGTTTCACGGACAGACCCTTTCTTGCACATTGGGATAAATCATTCCACCATGGCACAGAGCTAAAATTTGCAGTTGCTACAAGAAATACAGTCTCACCACCTTCTTCAACATCTGAACTGCAGATTAAGCAAAGAAAAAACAAAGTGAAATATCATGTTTCAATCTAAAATCCATTAGAAACCACAGGCAAGAACATAATTTGTAAAGACAATGACAACTTACAGGTACATAAGGACTGTAGCAATACGTTGGCCTCCATTCCTAGTGTTGAACTCATCAAGGAAGTAATCATAGTGAGGCTCGTATTTTTTCCCTACTTCGTAATGAAGAATTTGAAGTCCTTCTCCATTTTCTGAATATGATAAATTTAAGCAATAGTAAATGAGAAAAAATAAATAGTCAAATCAGGCCCACGGATTAGAAATGTTATTAACAAACATAAAATGTTTTGACAAATACACATGCATAATGTATTAATACACAGTGGTCCTTAGTCCAGCAAGGCATATGTTCATCGGACTCCTGTGTCCAAACCCTGCTAGGACCTCCTGTGTTTCCATTTGCCCCATGACTTCCCAAGTCATGATCTCTGATTATAACAAAAATAAACGTACTGAGACAACATTATCATGACATTCAAAAATACTCTGGTTATGATCTCCATCCCCGTATATACAGAACAATTTCCTTTTTGCACAATATTATTATGCTTTTCCACAACAACCATCAAAGGCATTAAATAAATTCTTCAAAAGAAGAAATATCCTCCTAATCTTAACTCCCATTCTGAATGGGGAAGAGTAGCAACTATACAGGAAGTGGTCCTTTCAGGGCCTCCATGGGCCCATGCGGTTGGTGGAGCTGCTCTTGCGGGAGCCAAAAAAGCGGGTGGAGGCGGACTCACGGGAAGGGCTTTGGACGTAGTATACGGGTCGGCGAGGAGAGCGGGGCAGTGAGGACTGGGAGAGGCTGCTAACCTCGGAGTCTGTCTTGGTCAGTATTGGCACGTTGTCATTGGGTTTCATGTTTCTCTCTCTTGTTTGTGTTGAATTTGATGTGAGGATGAAGAGAGAGAAAAAAAGCTGTAACATTGCAGGAAATGCAGAGGAGAGAGAAGAAAAAGTAAACGGAAGGAATTTAATTGATACAATTTATACTACTTTGAGATAAAATAGAAGCATTTTTAAAATCGGGTACTAACAGAAATTCACCCCTTAACATGGGGACGAAGTAAGCATTTAAGCCTATTAATTAACTTTAAAGATGACTAAAAAAATTACATATTATCAACAAGTGTTATTTACTGGCAATATCAAAAATTTGTTAATAAATTGTGTTTATTTATAGACAAATATTCATTGGTAAAATGTTTATCGATGGAGGTAGAAATTTCACTAGTGAAAGAAAGACTTTTTATACTAATTAAAAAGATTTTTTATACCGGTTTCAAAACCAATATAGATACAAACAGTATAAAAAAACTTTTAGAATTAGTATAGAAAGTACCACTTTTTATGCCAGTTAAATTCACAACTTGTACAAAAAGTATTTCACACATTTATATCCTCTCTATATTTTTTTTCATCTATCTCCCGTCACTCATGTCCAAGCATAAGTGTTTGAATTAGTAAGATGATTTCGAACATGAGTTCTAACAGTTCAAATTCACACATAATTAACTTAACATGCACAAAAGGGAAAAATAGTTGTAAATAATTTTGAGTTTCTTCCCCAACTATAGAGAATAAAAAATATATCCAAACACAACAAATAATTATTCATTGACTCATCCTTCTCTCCTCGTATTATTTCTCTTCCTCTTTCTCCACCTCCTTCTCTAACCCTGACAATCACTCTTACTGATATCCTACACCTACACACCACTCATGATCATCAATGTCAACGCACACGTTACCAGCAAGCTTTTGCATCACCGTAGAGTCATTGTCGTGCCGTCCTCCTCCTCCACTTCATCCTTTTCTCACTCATCTTCCCTTAATACACATTTCGTTTGGGTGAGAAATTTGTCTTTTAAATTGTAACATGTTTACTGATGAAATGAGATTGACAATAATTATGATGATAATGTATCAATGAAAATATTTATCAATAATAATAGTTATAATGTACCAAAAGATTTTACAGATTGATTTCATGTCTACGTAAGAACTCTAAATTAAAATGTGAAATCCAACAGAAAAATCTATTAGATAAATTTGAGTTCACCAATAAATTTATTGTCATCAATAATATTTTTTCAATAATTAAAAAAATTATTTTAATGGAATTGCCATATGTTAATACAATCAATCCTCCTTTTATGCATTTATTATTCAATTTTAAAAACAAAAATGAAAGAAATAATTGATTTAACAAAAACGATCACATTGAGTTTTCTTTAAAACAAAAATATATAAGAATCTCATCAAGAAAATAGTCCGAGAAAAAACATTAAATCCTCTCACAAATATAGAAACTAAAAGCATATTAAACCAAACAAAATTAATATAACTTCAAATTGAAAGAAAAAAAAAACAATACTGCTAACTTAACATTTTAATGAAAAATCATATATAAGAATATTTTTTAAATATTAATCAAACTTGATATTGAAAAATGATCATAATTTTTAATTGAAAATAAAAACATTTAATTAAATTGAGAATAAATTAAACAAATAATAATTTTATACTAAAAGTATAAAATTCGTAGTCATGTGACAATTATTTTATAAAAGAAATGAAGTGTTTATGCATTTTGAAGGTTCAATCATTAATGCATGAAAAGAACAACTTAAACGTGGATCGAAGGAGATTTGCATGCATCTGGACAGGGTTGCATTTATTCACTTATTCTCTTGTGATCCCAAATCACAGACACCTCAACAAGAAATAATTGATCAATAGTTATTGACATTTAAAAGACAGAATGATTTAATGCAGAAAGGACAAATGAATTTAATGCATTATACAAAATAAAACCAGTTATCCCATTGGAAGTGTCAAATTTGGGTCAATGATATGAATTAAACAAATAAATGATAATGAACAAGTTCAACATTATATACCTTAGAAAGTAGAGTAAATCAGTCAAATTATTGGTAAAGTATTTAGTCACAAATTATTAATTTACAAATTGTGGTTTATTAAATTGAAAAATAAAAAAAAATTTCAGCTTTAAGTTAGATTTTATTAATCAAATAAATTAAATTTTAATTTTAAAAATTTGACATTAAAGATTGACATAACTTGTTTATATATTATATATTTAATTATTTTTTAATATAGTGTTATTTAGGTTTTATTTAGATGCTAACACACTTGATTTACAAATTATATATGTTGTATTATAATTCGTATATATTGAGTTGCACTTATATAAACAGTAACTTCTTTTCTAATATATGAATAATTTTTTCTGAGAATTTATACATATATTTTATTAGGAGATATTAATATTTAAATAATTAAAGATACTATATTTTTAAACTTGAAAAACAATTTAATTAAGAAAGTTTTCATAAAAATAAAGTTAATTAAGTTACAAAGTCAAGCTTAATATTTTTTTAATATATCAAACTCAAGTTTGTAATTATGATTGATGGAAAGAAGTTATTTTACAAGCAGACAACTCTCAACAAATTGACTCGATCTGATTTGTTTGCAACCTTAAATTAGAGAATAACCAATGCAAGATAGCATTGAAAACATGTATTAATTACCATAAACTCATCTTAACTAGGTAATGTTGAATTCAATTCAAATATTAAACGCAAAAGCTGTGTTGAATAATTTGTTGTGTCAGCAGATAAGTTTTAAGAATCTTAATTAATTAATTTACTCAAATGCTAGAATTGAAATATTGAATTATTAAATTATCAAATTGAAACCAAATAAAATTCAGTTTAATATACGTAAACTAGGCTGTAGGAGAGATACTTAGTTAAGACTTAAATATTATTTTTGTTATTATTTTCGTGATTTTATTTAATGTGAGATTTATTTTGTTGATTGGTTTTTATTCTGGTTAATTATATTTAATTTAGTCATTTTTTATTATTTTATCTAAATTGTTAAAAGAGGGTATGCCATGTTTCCGTTTGTGATTTTTTTAAGTTTTATTTATTTTTTTTTTCTTAATTTAAAAAAATTGTCCACCTATCAAATCAATCATGTGCTATGCGAATATCTTAGGGTCACATGTCAAGTGTTAGTGTCATGTATTAAGTCAATATCAATGCCAATGTTATGTGTCGAAGTCTTATATTCAATTTAGTTTCAATTTTCCTTAATTTTGTCCCAATTTTTGTTAATTTTGTTCAATTCAGTTCCAATTTTGTTCCTCTTTAAACTAAGACCAACTTTAATTTTTATTAAAATTCACGTTTCTATTAAATATTTCTTTTATTATTTTTAAACCAACACTATCTGTATTATTGGTGTAACATCCCAAAAATATAACAAATATATATTATGGTAGTCCACAATTCTGATATAGGAGAACAGTTAGGAGTCAAACTTGTAGCTAAAGTCTTAATAATTACAGNCAAGAGAAGAATACGTTCATAATTGGTGTCTAGAAGTACCTACAAAGACGATGGCTTAAACCTTGTACTCATGGAGATGCATCCACTTTATCGAAGACCATTTATTTTCTTTAATTACTGGATAACCACTTGGGAGCAATGATAAAATTTAAATTAATTTACTAGTCATTGCCTTCAAGGAACCAAAAGAAATTGTGAGAATAGAACACTGTGTCGTGTGGCTTTTAATTTCCACAAGTGGCAAGAAAAAATTATGGAATGAGATGGCAAGAATATTCTCAACATATGGTTCATACATAACATATTCATTATAATTTTCTCAGAGGCCTGAAATAGAGCAAGCACGCAAAAGAATAAACGCAGCAACAAATGCATACACCAAGCAGAGCCTAAATGTAGAAAAATGGCTCATAATTGAATGTGTAAAATATGGATAAATTGAACTTAACGCGCTATAGTAACAATCTGTATTTACAGCTCATTTGGTGACAATTATGAAGAGTTTCTAACCATGTAAACTAGATGGATCTAATGAGGCATCAGGCCTCATGCTCCAAAATAGCAGAGTGTCTCCCCTTTTTGGTTTCACGGACAGACCCTTTCTTGCACATTGGGATAAATCATTCCACCATGGCACAGAGCTAAAATTTGCAGTTGCTACAAGAAATACAGTCTCACCACCTTCTTCAACATCTGAACTGCAGATTAAGCAAAGAAAAAACAAAGTGAAATATCATGTTTCAATCTAAAATCCATTAGAAACCACAGGCAAGAACATAATTTGTAAAGACAATGACAACTTACAGGTACATAAGGACTGTAGCAATACGTTGGCCTCCATTCCTAGTGTTGAACTCATCAAGGAAGTAATCATAGTGAGGCTCGTATTTTTTCCCTACTTCGTAATGAAGAATTTGAAGTCCTTCTCCATTTTCTGAATATGATAAATTTAAGCAATAGTAAATGAGAAAAAATAAATAGTCAAATCAGGCCCACGGATTAGAAATGTTATTAACAAACATAAAATGTTTTGACAAATACACATGCATAATGTATTAATACACAGTGGTCCTTAGTCCAGCAAGGCATATGTTCATCGGACTCCTGTGTCCAAACCCTGCTAGGACCTCCTGTGTTTCCATTTGCCCCATGACTTCCCAAGTCATGATCTCTGATTATAACAAAAATAAACGTACTGAGACAACATTATCATGACATTCAAAAATACTCTGGTTATGATCTCCATCCCCGTATATACAGAACAATTTCCTTTTTGCACAATATTATTATGCTTTTCCACAACAACCATCAAAGGCATTAAATAAATTCTTCAAAAGAAGAAATATCCTCCTAATCTTAACTCCCATTCTGAATGGGGAAGAGTAGCAACTATACAGGAAGTGGTCCTTTCAGGGCCTCCATGGGCCCATGCGGTTGGTGGAGCTGCTCTTGCGGGAGCCAAAAAAGCGGGTGGAGGCGGACTCACGGGAAGGGCTTTGGACGTAGTATACGGGTCGGCGAGGAGAGCGGGGCAGTGAGGACTGGGAGAGGCTGCTAACCTCGGAGTCTGTCTTGGTCAGTATTGGCACGTTGTCATTGGGTTTCATGTTTCTCTCTCTTGTTTGTGTTGAATTTGATGTGAGGAAGAAGAGAGAGAAAAAAAGCTGGAACATTGCAGGAAATGCAGAGGAGAGAGAAGAAAAAGTAAACGGAAGGAATTTAATTGATACAATTTATACTACTTTGAGATAAAATAGAAGCATTTTTAAAATCGGGTACTAACAGAAATTCACCCCTTAACATGGGGACGAAGTAAGCATTTAAGCCTATTAATTAACTTTAAAGATGACTAAAAAAATTACATATTATCAACAAGTGTTATTTACTGGCAATATCAAAAATTTGTTAATAAATTGTGTTTATTTATAGACAAATATTCATTGGTAAAATGTTTATCGATGGAGGTAGAAATTTCACTAGTGAAAGAAAGACTTTTTATACTAATTAAAAAGATTTTTTATACCGGTTTCAAAACCAATATAGATACAAACAGTATAAAAAAACTTTTAGAATTAGTATAGAAAGTACCACTTTTTATGCCAGTTAAATTCACAACTTGTACAAAAAGTATTTCACACATTTATATCCTCTCTATATTTTTTTTCATCTATCTCCCGTCACTCATGTCCAAGCATAAGTGTTTGAATTAGTAAGATGATTTCGAACATGAGTTCTAACAGTTCAAATTCACACATAATTAACTTAACATGCACAAAAGGGAAAAATAGTTGTAAATAATTTTGAGTTTCTTCCCCAACTATAGAGAATAAAAAATATATCCAAACACAACAAATAATTATTCATTGACTCATCCTTCTCTCCTCGTATTATTTCTCTTCCTCTTTCTCCACCTCCTTCTCTAACCCTGACAATCACTCTTACTGATATCCTACACCTACACACCACTCATGATCATCAATGTCAACGCACACGTTACCAGCAAGCTTTTGCATCACCGTAGAGTCATTGTCGTGCCGTCCTCCTCCTCCACTTCATCCTTTTCTCACTCATCTTCCCTTAATACACATTTCGTTTGGGTGAGAAATTTGTCTTTTAAATTGTAACATGTTTACTGATGAAATGAGATTGACAATAATTATGATGATAATGTATCAATGAAAATATTTATCAATAATAATAGTTATAATGTACCAAAAGATTTTACAGATTGATTTCATGTCTACGTAAGAACTCTAAATTAAAATGTGAAATCCAACAGAAAAATCTATTAGATAAATTTGAGTTCACCAATAAATTTATTGTCATCAATAATATTTTTTCAATAATTAAAAAAATTATTTTAATGGAATTGCCATATGTTAATACAATCAATCCTCCTTTTATGCATTTATTATTCAATTTTAAAAACAAAAATGAAAGAAATAATTGATTTAACAAAAACGATCACATTGAGTTTTCTTTAAAACAAAAATATATAAGAATCTCATCAAGAAAATAGTCCGAGAAAAAACATTAAATCCTCTCACAAATATAGAAACTAAAAGCATATTAAACCAAACAAAATTAATATAACTTCAAATTGAAAGAAAAAAAAAACAATACTGCTAACTTAACATTTTAATGAAAAATCATATATAAGAATATTTTTTAAATATTAATCAAACTTGATATTGAAAAATGATCATAATTTTTAATTGAAAATAAAAACATTTAATTAAATTGAGAATAAATTAAACAAATAATAATTTTATACTAAAAGTATAAAATTCGTAGTCATGTGACAATTATTTTATAAAAGAAATGAAGTGTTTATGCATTTTGAAGGTTCAATCATTAATGCATGAAAAGAACAACTTAAACGTGGATCGAAGGAGATTTGCATGCATCTGGACAGGGTTGCATTTATTCACTTATTCTCTTGTGATCCCAAATCACAGACACCTCAACAAGAAATAATTGATCAATAGTTATTGACATTTAAAAGACAGAATGATTTAATGCAGAAAGGACAAATGAATTTAATGCATTATACAAAATAAAACCAGTTATCCCATTGGAAGTGTCAAATTTGGGTCAATGATATGAATTAAACAAATAAATGATAATGAACAAGTTCAACATTATATACCTTAGAAAGTAGAGTAAATCAGTCAAATTATTGGTAAAGTATTTAGTCACAAATTATTAATTTACAAATTGTGGTTTATTAAATTGAAAAATAAAAAAAAATTTCAGCTTTAAGTTAGATTTTATTAATCAAATAAATTAAATTTTAATTTTAAAAATTTGACATTAAAGATTGACATAACTTGTTTATATATTATATATTTAATTATTTTTTAATATAGTGTTATTTAGGTTTTATTTAGATGCTAACACACTTGATTTACAAATTATATATGTTGTATTATAATTCGTATATATTGAGTTGCACTTATATAAACAGTAACTTCTTTTCTAATATATGAATAATTTTTTCTGAGAATTTATACATATATTTTATTAGGAGATATTAATATTTAAATAATTAAAGATACTATATTTTTAAACTTGAAAAACAATTTAATTAAGAAAGTTTTCATAAAAATAAAGTTAATTAAGTTACAAAGTCAAGCTTAATATTTTTTTAATATATCAAACTCAAGTTTGTAATTATGATTGATGGAAAGAAGTTATTTTACAAGCAGACAACTCTCAACAAATTGACTCGATCTGATTTGTTTGCAACCTTAAATTAGAGAATAACCAATGCAAGATAGCATTGAAAACATGTATTAATTACCATAAACTCATCTTAACTAGGTAATGTTGAATTCAATTCAAATATTAAACGCAAAAGCTGTGTTGAATAATTTGTTGTGTCAGCAGATAAGTTTTAAGAATCTTAATTAATTAATTTACTCAAATGCTAGAATTGAAATATTGAATTATTAAATTATCAAATTGAAACCAAATAAAATTCAGTTTAATATACGTAAACTAGGCTGTAGGAGAGATACTTAGTTAAGACTTAAATATTATTTTTGTTATTATTTTCGTGATTTTATTTAATGTGAGATTTATTTTGTTGATTGGTTTTTATTCTGGTTAATTATATTTAATTTAGTCATTTTTTATTATTTTATCTAAATTGTTAAAAGAGGGTATGCCATGTTTCCGTTTGTGATTTTTTTAAGTTTTATTTATTTTTTTTTTCTTAATTTAAAAAAATTGTCCACCTATCAAATCAATCATGTGCTATGCGAATATCTTAGGGTCACATGTCAAGTGTTAGTGTCATGTATTAAGTCAATATCAATGCCAATGTTATGTGTCGAAGTCTTATATTCAATTTAGTTTCAATTTTCCTTAATTTTGTCCCAATTTTTGTTAATTTTGTTCAATTCAGTTCCAATTTTGTTCCTCTTTAAACTAAGACCAACTTTAATTTTTATTAAAATTCACGTTTCTATTAAATATTTCTTTTATTATTTTTAAACCAACACTATCTGTATTATTGGTGTAACATCCCAAAAATATAACAAATATATATTATGGTAGTCCACAATTCTGATATAGGAGAACAGTTAGGAGTCAAACTTGTAGCTAAAGTCTTAATAATTACAGTCATCCCAAAAATGACTATAATTTAAAACTTTAAACACCCTTAAGAGTATTTCAAGATAGTATAACTTAACTAAGAAATCCTAAACAAACTAAGTTGCAGCATCATCACCATCCAGGGCCTGCTCCAGGGGTACCTCATCCACCTCTGCTCACATCCAAGTGGATGATCATTGCAACAGAAACACGACACAATAACAGACAAACACAAGAAGAAGGGTGAGCTAGATATACAAAAATCATGTTATACAATCACACACAACATGCATAGTTCACTCAAAACATGGTAAATGACATTACAAGACTTGTTGCGTTATAAACCGACTCGTCCGGACTAGAATGATTGTCGAGCTATGGCGGGTTATGCACTCGTAGTGGCCTCTACTGCTTTGCAAAGTCGTTGCCAATGGGTTCCACCCTACCACACTCATGAGGTTAGTCCGTTCCACGCCCTGGAGCATACTGGAAGCCTCCAAGACTAGGACCTCCTACTACTCCTCACCACATGGATCAATCTTCTCTTCTTGATATTGAAAGACCATTGGAGCGTCAGGAAAACCCCCAAGACTGAGCTACCATGCAAATCATTCTAAACATTCAGGGCACCACCATGAATCTTCTCCTTGAAGATCATGGAATTACATCCAATAACATAGGGCACCACCATGTGACCTCCCTTTGAGATCCATGGAATTACGTCCATAACATAGGGCACCACTATGTGACCTCCCTTTGAGATCCATGGAATTACGTCCATCAACCATACTGTTACACTTACGCCAATCACAACTTTGTTTCATACATACTTCCAAACTATAATTCACACACAATACAACATACCCTCAATCATGTTGCAAAATCAAGTCACCCAAATCAGTTATATAGACATACATACATCCTGGCAGTCAAACAACATCAAACAGCTCAAACAGATGAGGAAAAATGTGAAACTCACTAAACCAGGTCGCACAGCGCACCAGGGTGCAAGACAAGACAGCAAAAATTCGCACAGCGCACCACCCTTAATGCGTTGGGCGAATTTTCCTGACAAGAGGACAACTAAAATTCGTATAGCGCACCAAGTTTGTGCACTATGCTAAACTAAAATTCTAATACCCATTATCAGTCACTAAACCCTCGCATAGCGTCCCTAATTCGCTATTCGAACTAATTTGGCTAATTTTCCAGGTTAGCAACAGTCGCAAAGCGACTACATTCGCTACGCGACTTATAACACAGAGAGCAACCCTCTGTTATAATTCGCATCGCGCACAGAGTCGCTATGCGAATGCCCTGGCAGAGAGCACCTCGCCAGGGTGACTCGCTGAGCGAAAGGCTTCGCTCTACGAATGTGCAAAATCTGCACAATGAAATTCTGCAGATTTGCACAACTCTACCACTCCAAACTCATTCTAACCATTTTGGTGAACTTCTAACACCCCCAACTCGAAGTATATATTGAATTAAACATGCCTAACTGATTATAACCCTTCCTAACATCTTTTTAAAGTGTTTATGCATTGATTTATACTTGAAAACTGAAAATCTCTCAACCTAGGGGCTCAAATATAATTCTACCACCTTGAGTCTGATTTTGACCATTTTAGGGGTCTAATTAGGTCCCAATTGACTTGCCTAAACCACCTAAACTGACCAGAATGATCTGTAATGCCCCATTCTCAATTTGACCACCTTAGTTTCTCTAATAAGACCCTAAACACCCTAATTCACTTAAGTGTTGTTCTAATCACCTATTTAGAAGACTTCACTTCATCTAGCCATTCAATATCAGTCTCAAACCTTATCCATACCAATTCATACGTACAATTCCACAGATTCACTATTAGACAAGCATTTGAGCAATCGAGTTCACATACAACATTTTCAATTCCAGTACAAACAACACCCATACATAACAATCCATACATACGTTATTTCCCCACATCAAACAACAATTTATCTCATGCACACCCTAATCTACAGAACAGAAAGCAAGATCTAGCTCCCCTTACCTTGAAGTTGAGCAGCACAACCCACTAGAACGCTCTAACAGTACCTCACAGCAATAACCTAAACAGTGCCCTACAACCACCAAAAATGTGATGGAAATCGCTCTTAGAGCTGGGATGGACAGAGAAAACAAAAGGACAAGCTACCAGCTGCATGCAACCAGTAGAGTGGCATGCCCTAGGTTCCAAAAACAGTGGAGGAGACGGGAAAACGACTTACCAGTCGGAATGAAGAAATGTTCGGTAGAAATGGAGCTCTCTACGTCGCGGATGCTTGGGCAACACAAAAATCAAATTCCTACGGTTCTTTGAGCTGGAAATCTAGAGAGAAGACAGAGAGAGTTTAGGGCATGAGAGTTTTAGAGAGAAGGAGAAATGAAGTTCAGGGGAAGAAAATGGGTTCTGAAGAGCCCCTCCTAAGGTCAAGTTNTCAAATTATTGGTAAAGTATTTAGTCACAAATTATTAATTTACAAATTGTGGTTTATTAAATTGAAAAATAAAAAAAAATTTCAGCTTTAAGTTAGATTTTATTAATCAAATAAATTAAATTTTAATTTTAAAAATTTGACATTAAAGATTGACATAACTTGTTTATATATTATATATTTAATTATTTTTTAATATAGTGTTATTTAGGTTTTATTTAGATGCTAACACACTTGATTTACAAATTATATATGTTGTATTATAATTCGTATATATTGAGTTGCACTTATATAAACAGTAACTTCTTTTCTAATATATGAATAATTTTTTCTGAGAATTTATACATATATTTTATTAGGAGATATTAATATTTAAATAATTAAAGATACTATATTTTTAAACTTGAAAAACAATTTAATTAAGAAAGTTTTCATAAAAATAAAGTTAATTAAGTTACAAAGTCAAGCTTAATATTTTTTTAATATATCAAACTCAAGTTTGTAATTATGATTGATGGAAAGAAGTTATTTTACAAGCAGACAACTCTCAACAAATTGACTCGATCTGATTTGTTTGCAACCTTAAATTAGAGAATAACCAATGCAAGATAGCATTGAAAACATGTATTAATTACCATAAACTCATCTTAACTAGGTAATGTTGAATTCAATTCAAATATTAAACGCAAAAGCTGTGTTGAATAATTTGTTGTGTCAGCAGATAAGTTTTAAGAATCTTAATTAATTAATTTACTCAAATGCTAGAATTGAAATATTGAATTATTAAATTATCAAATTGAAACCAAATAAAATTCAGTTTAATATACGTAAACTAGGCTGTAGGAGAGATACTTAGTTAAGACTTAAATATTATTTTTGTTATTATTTTCGTGATTTTATTTAATGTGAGATTTATTTTGTTGATTGGTTTTTATTCTGGTTAATTATATTTAATTTAGTCATTTTTTATTATTTTATCTAAATTGTTAAAAGAGGGTATGCCATGTTTCCGTTTGTGATTTTTTTAAGTTTTATTTATTTTTTTTTTCTTAATTTAAAAAAATTGTCCACCTATCAAATCAATCATGTGCTATGCGAATATCTTAGGGTCACATGTCAAGTGTTAGTGTCATGTATTAAGTCAATATCAATGCCAATGTTATGTGTCGAAGTCTTATATTCAATTTAGTTTCAATTTTCCTTAATTTTGTCCCAATTTTTGTTAATTTTGTTCAATTCAGTTCCAATTTTGTTCCTCTTTAAACTAAGACCAACTTTAATTTTTATTAAAATTCACGTTTCTATTAAATATTTCTTTTATTATTTTTAAACCAACACTATCTGTATTATTGGTGTAACATCCCAAAAATATAACAAATATATATTATGGTAGTCCACAATTCTGATATAGGAGAACAGTTAGGAGTCAAACTTGTAGCTAAAGTCTTAATAATTACAGTCATCCCAAAAATGACTATAATTTAAAACTTTAAACACCCGTAAGAGTATTTCAAGATAGTATAACTTAACTAAGAAATCCTAAACAAACTAAGTTGCAGCATCATCACCATCCAGGGCCTGCTCCAGGGGTACCTCATCCACCTCTGCTCACATCCAAGTGGATGATCATTGCAACAGAAACACGACACAATAACAGACAAACACAAGAAGAAGGGTGAGCTAGATATACAAAAATCATGTTATACAATCACACACAACATGCATAGTTCACTCAAAACATGGTAAATGACATTACAAGACTTGTTGCGTTATAAACCGACTCGTCCGGACTAGAATGATTGTCGAGCTATGGCGGGTTATGCACTCGTAGTGGCCTCTACTGCTTTGCAAAGTCGTTGCCAATGGGTTCCACCCTACCACACTCATGAGGTTAGTCCGTTCCACGCCCTGGAGCATACTGGAAGCCTCCAAGACTAGGACCTCCTACTACTCCTCACCACATGGATCAATCATCTCTGCTTGAGAATGAAAGACCATTGGAGCGTCAGGAAAACCCCCAAGACTGAGCTACCATGCAAATCATTCTAAACATTCAGGGCACCACCATGAATCTTCTCCTTGAAGATCATGGAATTACATCCAATAACATAGGGCACCACCATGTGACCTCCCTTTGAGATCCATGGAATTACGTCCATAACATAGGGCACCACTATGTGACCTCCCTTTGAGATCCATGGAATTACGTCCATCAACCATACTGTTACACTTACGCCAATCACAACTTTGTTTCATACATACTTCCAAACTATAATTCACACACAATACAACATACCCTCAATCATGTTGCAAAATCAAGTCACCCAAATCAGTTATATAGACATACATACATCCTGGCAGTCAAACAACATCAAACAGCTCAAACAGATGAGGAAAAATGTGAAACTCACTAAACCAGGTCGCACAGCGCACCAGGGTGCAAGACAAGACAGCAAAAATTCGCACAGCGCACCACCCTTAATGCGTTGGGCGAATTTTCCTGACAAGAGGACAACTAAAATTCGTATAGCGCACCAAGTTTGTGCACTATGCTAAACTAAAATTCTAATACCCATTATCAGTCACTAAACCCTCGCATAGCGTCCCTAATTCGCTATTCGAACTAATTTGGCTAATTTTCCAGGTTAGCAACAGTCGCAAAGCGACTACATTCGCTACGCGACTTATAACACAGAGAGCAACCCTCTGTTATAATTCGCATCGCGCACAGAGTCGCTATGCGAATGCCCTGGCAGAGAGCACCTCGCCAGGGTGACTCGCTGAGCGAAAGGCTTCGCTCTACGAATGTGCAAAATCTGCACAATGAAATTCTGCAGATTTGCACAACTCTACCACTCCAAACTCATTCTAACCATTTTGGTGAACTTCTAACACCCCCAACTCGAAGTATATATTGAATTAAACATGCCTAACTGATTATAACCCTTCCTAACATCTTTTTAAAGTGTTTATGCATTGATTTATACTTGAAAACTGAAAATCTCTCAACCTAGGGGCTCAAATATAATTCTACCACCTTGAGTCTGATTTTGACCATTTTAGGGGTCTAATTAGGTCCCAATTGACTTGCCTAAACCACCTAAACTGACCAGAATGATCTGTAATGCCCCATTCTCAATTTGACCACCTTAGTTTCTCTAATAAGACCCTAAACACCCTAATTCACTTAAGTGTTGTTCTAATCACCTATTTAGAAGACTTCACTTCATCTAGCCATTCAATATCAGTCTCAAACCTTATCCATACCAATTCATACGTACAATTCCACAGATTCACTATTAGACAAGCATTTGAGCAATCGAGTTCACATACAACATTTTCAATTCCAGTACAAACAACACCCATACATAACAATCCATACATACGTTATTTCCCCACATCAAACAACAATTTATCTCATGCACACCCTAATCTACAGAACAGAAAGCAAGATCTAGCTCCCCTTACCTTGAAGTTGAGCAGCACAACCCACTAGAACGCTCTAACAGTACCTCACAGCAATAACCTAAACAGTGCCCTACAACCACCAAAAATGTGATGGAAATCGCTCTTAGAGCTGGGATGGACAGAGAAAACAAAAGGACAAGCTACCAGCTGCATGCAACCAGTAGAGTGGCATGCCCTAGGTTCCAAAAACAGTGGAGGAGACGGGAAAACGACTTACCAGTCGGAATGAAGAAATGTTCGGTAGAAATGGAGCTCTCTACGTCGCGGATGCTTGGGCAACACAAAAATCAAATTCCTACGGTTCTTTGAGCTGGAAATCTAGAGAGAAGACAGAGAGAGTTTAGGGCATGAGAGTTTTAGAGAGAAGGAGAAATGAAGTTCAGGGGAAGAAAATGGGTTCTGAAGAGCCCCTCCTAAGGTCAAGTTGGCCTTAGTTTGATGGGTCTGGCTGCCCCACATAAGGCCCAAAGGCCCTTTTATAAATTTACAGGCCCTTACAATTGGAATATAATTATTAGATTTATGTTTGATATTTTTTTATATGTAAAAAATAGGGTTATAGTTGGTTTAAAAATAATGAAAAAATTTCTTTTGATTTTAAAAACAATAAATAATTTTCCTTTTAATTTTAAAAATAAATTATAATTTTCCTTCTACTATTAGAAATAAATTAGAATTTTCCTTCTAATTCTAAAAAATGAAGAATTTTCCTTCTAATTTTAAAAATAATGAATAATTTTCCTTTTAATTTTAAAAATAATGAAGAAATTTCCTTCTAATTTTAAAAATAATGAAGAATTTTTCTTCTAATTTAAAAAATAATTAAAAATATTCTTTTCAATATTAAAAATAATGAAAAAGAATTCATCTAATTTAAAAATAATAAATAATTTTCCTTCTAAAATTTAAAATTGAGACTAAATTAAACAAAACAAATGAAATTTGGGAGTAAATTGAACAAACATAATGAAAACTTTGACTTAATTGAATACAGTACACTGACACATGACATTGATACTAACTTGACATGTAGTATTGACATTTTCATGTGACATAATGTTGACTTGAATCATGGACAACTTTTTTTAAATTAAGAAAAAATCTAAAAAACAAAATATGAACTAACACATGACACGCAATGAGACCAAATTGAACATAATTTACAAAAATGAAAATAATTTACAAAAATAGGAATCATAATGAATATCCAAAAATAATGAGTTTCACATTAAAGAGAGTGGACCAGGATCAAAAGAATATTTAAACTTTTAGTTAACATTAATAACATTAGTATGGACACGATACTTTAACATCACAACAAATACACTCATTTAAAATTCTAAAATAATAACATTTTAATTATATTTATATTAATTTTAATTTAAAAGTATAATATATTATTATATTATTAAAAGAGTGTTAAATGGATGTATTTTTAAGTGTGAAACTAACCCTTTCTATTTATTTATGTTATACATCATTGTCATTACATTAAGATTTTATTAAAAAAAATGTAAAAAAATCACATAAAATTATCTCGTGCAAAGTAAAAAATAATACTTTTTATGAAAAAAAGTTAATAATTTTAAAATTATTTCATACTTTAAGCTCTATATACTAGGAAAAAAAAGGCATTTCTCAACATATTAAAAATTTTGTTATTAGTTCGTACTTTCACATTTCAAAAAATATCTTTAATTTTTATAAGTTTTTGTTTTGGAAGATTTAGTGTTAACTTTCTTTAGTCTATATTTATTAAGTTTCCTTGTAATCTAAGTCGGATCCTCTTCAGTATTAAAATATTCTCTCTCACCAAACATATTAGTCCATTTAAAAGTTATTTTTAATTTATCTACAAAACAAGTCTCCTTACATATCAAATATTATGAGTTGTCGTTATAAATTGAATCTCTAATTGTTATAAACCCTGCAAATAAGAGTGTCAAAATGGGTAGTGATCCAAGGACCAACTCACGAAACAAGATGGACCGGGTTAGAACGGGTTGAGTTGATTCACTTTGTCATCTATGAAATATTCATAATGGAAGTGATATCCTCCAAAGAAGACATACAAACCAAGAAATCAAATTTACTTGCACACCACAATCTAAATTTTTCTTAAGAAAATTTTCATTTTTCACTGTACAAATATTATCATGATTACCTTTCATTAGTTCAGGTTCAAAACCAATTAAGGATTTTAATTTTTTTTTTAAATGATAATTTTATCACTCTTTAACTATTTAATAACAGTAATAAACACGGTAATAAATTGTATACCTCAAATACTTCCTCATTTATTTAATCTTTATCGCCGATAAAAAAAACAGTAATAAAAATAAACGCTTAATTTTAACTAAAAAAGGTTAAATTGCCATGGCTCGGGTAGGCATGTCTCTTGTGAAAAACTTCACTAAAAAACATTTATGGAGAACCTAGTTTACGCGAATTGTTATTTTTAGAAGATGGACCAGATGAATTAAAAAAAAAACTAAAAAATTCAGTACTACCGAACGCTCCTTAATTTATTTTACAGAAAGAAGCAAAATGTTAAGAGTGATATAGTAATAGAACTGCCAATGATGAAGAAAGAATAGCCAATTTTTTTTTTCTTTTGGATCAGCAATAAAATAGCCGAAGAAGGTGATGTGGCTCGATCTGAACCCTTTCGGAAATGTATGGACAAAATTAATTGTGAAGCTTCTGCATGATGTGCCGATTATTGCTAACGTGTCTTCATTACTATTTTGAGTTTGGAGTTTGGATGATTGCGTCTTGCAGTCCCACATCATCCTAGACATTATGGTGTCCCACAAGTGCACATTATTGATGCTTTTCCTGTACAAGTCCATGTGCTGGTTTCATCAAGGACCACTCTTCAATGTCAATGTATCCACAGCCGCAGTCAATCGTCCACCATGTAGCCACTATGAAACTGCTTTCTTTGTCTTTATTAACATTCGGCATTTCAGATAAACTGCGTTCCAATCTCTTCATTAGAGACGAGGAAAGAAAACTGTAGAACATGAACATGAACATGCGAGGGAACCATACAGTATTCAAGCCATAATTCATATACTCACCCAGGTTACCACCACCTTCCAAGTGGCACGGAGACTTACAGGTATGCAATCTTACCTTGGCACTTATTGCTATGTATCGAGTAAACAGAGAATTAATGTCAGTAATGGTTGCAAACTGAAATAGATAGGGCAACTGCATGATGTGAGTTTAAAACCATGCTCAACAATCGATTGCAAAGAACGATCCTTCAACTGTAAAACCAGAGATTCTCGAGGGATTTTTTTTTTTTTTCAAACTGAAACCTACAAACTATGTAACTACAGACCCATACAAGTATTTAACCAAGAAATCATATACACAGGGTAAAACCAAATCGATCCCGCTAAATATTACAAAATCCTAATTTTGCAAGCGGCAGTACAAATATAAATTCAGAAGGAAACACCATAGAATAAATGACCCTGCCCTTTAGTTATCTCCCTACTGGCCTACTCTTACTTTGTCTAATGCTTCACGATAAACAGATTCCACCAACACACAGAAACCAAACCAACCTACAGCTAATCCTTGTTGACGCAATCGGTGTTACAGTCAGCAGTAGTTTAATACTACAGGTAGCCTAAGTAAATTAAAAAACAAATTTCATGAATCACCACCGGCATCAGCAACTGGACGATCATTGTGTACTTGGCGAACAAACTGCCCTTTGACCCGAGGACGCTGCTCTGCCAGCCTTTTCCGGCTTTGATATCGAACCTTTACAACAAATTAAGAGTTCTTATTAATAAGATCATCAGCAGAAGATGGTATAGGAGTTTCCAACCTAACTCTAGTCATAGATTTATCTTTACCATATATACTTTTAAAGTAAACTAGCATTTTACTAACAATAACAATGCTGGTTGTAATACCTTTTTCTCGAAGCATCGCTCTTTCCGCTTCAGTCGAAACTTGGTTAGAGCTGCTTCTCTTTGACTAGTGTGATGAGATTCTGTGCCTCGAGACCCATCATAATTATGACAAACACTATCGCTGAAAACTTCTGGGTTGTTCTTGGATACTATAGCTGAAGTAGCATGCCCATCATTTCCACTGTCCATGCTTCCATACGCACTACTGTTGACATGATATGAAGCATCATGGCATAAACTATTACCAGCACTCTGATCAGCAGCAGGAGAATCACGCCTTGCCTGATCCAAATCAGTGTCTTCCTTTACATTTTGATTAAGACATGTAGCATCATTGGAATATTCATGATATTGGTCAGAGTTGTGACTTTCAGGATTGGACTGGGAGGAGGTACTTGTGGGAAAGGGAGAACTCTCGTTCTGGCAGACTGGTTTCGGACTCCACACAGGGTGAGTACCAGATGTTGCGTAGAACACTGAAGTGAAAACATTACCATGTCCCTTGGACTTAAGATCGGAAACAACCCCTGAAACAGGTAACATTCCACATTGACTGTTTGATAATTTTGGCTTAACTTGTCCATACTGATCAATGACCGTACCGATCATATTCTCCAGGTTTTTATTTGAGCCACCATACTGACAACAATTTCCAGAAGTAGTTCGAGACAATTTATGGGATTCGTGAGAATCCCAACTGGGGTTGTTTACTTCGGCGGATGTAATTGATGGTGTTCGAAAAAGAGGGTGCACCAATTTACTATTACTATACCTGCATATAGAAATTGTCACCCACCGTCAGAAAATGAGCAATCGCAAAGAATTATTGCAAGTTGATTTTCTGAAAGGATCACTAGGAAACATAATTTAGAATGAAAGATTGGATATTGATTTCACATCATCCAAGTGAAAGCTTAAACATGGCCTTTAATTTTGGGTGCTGGGGGTTGGGGTAACCATAAGGGTGCAGAAGTTTATTGATTAACAAAGAGGGGCCAACCTGTTTAGTTTAACAAAGTGATTATTTGATCTATAAACTCGAAAATGAAGAATCCAATTTATTTTAACAAGCCTCATTGAAGAATTCCTCTTAATGCAGATGACGGTGCACAAAAGCACGCACATTTGTGTGGTCTCTTCAGTATTTAAGGTTTTAGAAGCATAAGGCTCTAAGTTTTACCATGAATTGGATCCTTCCATGAGATTATAATAGATCATAGGCTCTCAAAATTATGTTTCACTCCAAATCACCATTTGTTCAGCTGTCACCACAATGTTAATTTATAACAGCATAAATCAAACTGACAAAAAGACATAAAAGAACATGAGAGAAACAATATAACAAAACTCGACAAAGAACTTCCTTCCACTGGTCAAAATTAGTTTCTTACAAGAAAGATTTTACGGTATTGTAGATGTCATTTAAAGAACCAAAAAAGTCACAACAAAACACAGAACTCACCAAGAAAACGCAGAGGTGTTTGAATGGTTCAATCTTTGAGATTCCTCAGTTGCTTCGCTTGCTTGTTTACATGAACTTCCAGGAAAATCACTTCTTAAAGAAAGTTCCAATTGCGTAACACCATAAAACATGGTTGTATTACCACCATTAAGACTACAGTTTTCATCAGGGTGCTTTGGAAGATTTCCAAATGTTGCAATCAAGTCAATAGCTCCTTTAATAGGTTTCACCCCTTCATCACTGCATCCATGCAACTCAGAACTAATATTAGAATCTCCTATGCCTAAATCAGATTTTAAGATTTCAACCTCAATTTCAGTATCAGCACAGCCATGGTCTTGTTCTAGCCTTAAATCTGCCGATTCAAAAGTTTTGTCGCACCCTGCAGTGTCTGATACAATTATAATTGAATTATCTGCATTAAATGTTTTAACAGATAGCACAACAGTCAATACATTAAAACAAGACAAAAAAACACATTCATATCGAAGTGTAGAATAAAATTAGTATACCTCTTGTTTCATTATCCATCTTAGTTGATTCACTTTCAAATCTGGTAAACTTTTCATACTTCAAATCAATTTTCTGCTGTTTAGACCTTTTCAGCTGGGGCACATCCTGCATGGTTTCCACGTATGTACTATAAACATCCAAAATTGGCAATGTACAAGTGCTCTAGACAAGAGTTTGCAAAACTTACTGTTTCTATGTGAAATTTCAGAAGCAAAACTAATCTAGAAAGGATATTTTCTTCAAGTGAAGTGGTTTTGTAAATGCACTGTGCAATAAAATTTAGGTTGCATGTCTTTATATGTCACTCAATCCATGCAGAGTGAAAAATGTAGAAAGAATTTCAGATATAAAATATAATTAAATTAAAAGTCAATCACTTCACACTCAACAAACCAAACTCCAAGAAAATTGACTCTGAGAATCACAATAAAAGACAAATTTCGCAAAATTGAGGCAGTGAAACTTACTTGAGCCTCACTTAATCTCTCACTGTATTCGTTGTTTTCCTTAGAGGAGGCAACGGAACCACTAGATTTATTGCTTGCAGAATTGTCTTCGGAGGCAGTTTCAAGATTTTTTGGTGAAAATGTTGTAATTGGAGCAGTAGTGCTACTCTGAATAAATAGCATACGGCAGAGAGAGGAAAGAAATAAAAAGAACAAGTAAATATATGTAAATGGGCAAGCCATTATAAAAGAAGAAAATAATACAAAAAATCTCTATAAAAAGATTGAAAAATATGACGTACAGCGTGCCTTCTCCATACATGTTGCCACAAGTTCCCTAGTTCATTCCTCCGAATAGGTTTTATAAGAAAATCAGCAGCCCCTTTTAGCATGCATTTCAACACCATGCTTACAGAATCATGAGAAGACATCACTGCACAGCGATGAAAATAAACCTGAGCTCATTAGCCATTTCTATCTAACATTGAGACTAAAAATACAAATACAAAGTAACAAGTTTACATACTTATGACAGGAATGTTTTTACAAATTTCATGTTCCATGATTAAAGAAAGAAGGGCAAATCCAGATATTGCTGGCAGATCCACTTCAGTTATTATGAGATCTAGCTCGGACGCGTTCTTCTTCAACAACTCCCATGCCTTTAATCCGTCTGGAACCGCAATAACTACATGGAAAAGAAAACTATCATGAAGTAGTAAAGCCTGAAAATTATAATGTCAAGCTGAAATTCGATCATCCATAATGTTTTCCATTATGAGTTTGTTGAAATAATAAATTGTTTGATATTCCAACCAAATATATATACATACATACATACACACACATATAATAAACGGTTACCAGACTTTCCTTCCCGAAATACAATGCAAATAAATACATCATTTGAAACGAAAGAGGCTGAAATTAAAACAATTGGATTATTCACTTTTTGTTCAAAGGATGGAGACAAAATGGGTATCAAGAATATATAACATCTTACACTACACCCCTTGATAAACAAAGATTATTGAAATATTACCAAATATACTTCTACTAAAACCAAAATTACAGTGGGAGTCAAGATTTTAAATTGCGGGTTAGAGTTGCAGTTTCATCGTGTTAATTGCTATGCTTCTACTGTTACGATCATCGATGCTCGTGAACTTGCACAGGGTTGCCGCCTGTTTTTAAAAACCTTGGTAAATTAATCAGGTTTATTGAGTTTTAAACACTCTAAACATAGCGACAAATAAGCCTATGTATGAATGAAAACAGAGATTCTCATTTTCATAAACTCAGGTCATAATTCATCATAACTGCAAAAACTTTATAAAATTTATCACAAAAAAAAAATAGCAACACATTGACCAACGTATCCATGACGTTACCCGAATCGAACAGGTGGAAAATTAAATAGAATTATTCTCTGGATATCACCGCTGTTATACACTTAACCTAATTACATAGACCATAATCAAAACGATAGAACAAAAGCAAAATTTTAGCAAACTAACGGCAACTAGTTAAATAATACAATGCCGCAAACATTATCCAAAAGAAAACGACATAAACAGCGAAATCGATAACAGGTTCTTCCGAATTAAGAAGAAGAAGAAGCAACCTGTGTAACTGCATTTGCGAAGAAGCGCAGCGATTATTTGTCGAGTGGAATGATCAGCTTCTACAAGCAGGACTCTGAGCACCATCCGCGGCAGAAACCTCTCCCACTGAACCCCCTCTGCAGAGCGATCGCCATTGTTGCCCGTCCCGTGCTCTTGCATCGTACTACTCAACTCAGCCATTCTCGAACAAAAGCATGCTTCATTCCACGACCAAACAGAAAACCCCAAATCAGTTACGACGAGGAAGACGAAGAAGAAGAAAACAGAGTAAATGAAATTGACCTCATCACCGTCGTCGTCTTCAGGAGCAACAATAACAACAATAATATAATAATAAATAACTAAATTTGAAAGAGAAAAATGATTTGTTTTGTTTGGAACAAACCCTTCTTCTTCTTCTTCTTCTTCTTTAGTTGCTTCCGATTCTGATTCACTGGTGACCAGCTTTCGCCCACAACCGCGAAAATCGTCAAAAATATCTTCCCACCAAAATCTCCATCCCTCTCACTGGATCATCAAAAGGTGGATAGCTACTCCCATGATGACGTGGCGCAGTTTCCGCCATCCATTATTTTAATATGCAACGCTTGAGGTGATCTTCCGCCATACGTGGGGTCCACCCAATGGACACTTGTCGTCCTTATATCTTCTCTCAGAGCCGATATTTTTCTGTACAGTAATATCTGGTTTTATTTTACAATGCTTTGATCTCGTGGTCTACAGACTGACACGTGGAGTCACCCAGATTTAATCTATTTGTTTTTTCATTCCTTTCTTTTGGTTGTGAGTCCAGTCACTTTAATACGTTATCCATATTCCTTCTTTTTTTTTCATATTAGTAAATATCGAAAATTTTAATATCAAGACGTCATGAAAAATGTGTAAAGAATTATAATATTATTTTTCAACTTATAACCTTAATGTAATGAATTAGTTAAATTTTGTTATGTGACGTTTAGTTTTTATTTTTATTTATTTAATATAAGACTTTTAATTTATATTTAAATTTTTAAATTATATTTGAGTTTTTTAATACACTTTCATTAATCTTAAACGTTGTGGGTTTACCAAAACATTAAAATAAACTTTGTTCTAATATCATTATGGTATTTTAGGTGAAAATAAGAAAATTTGGGACATGTAAGCTAAAAGACAATTCATATAAAAGGCTTTAAGACAATATGTGGGTTGGATCCAATGATTAATATTAGGCCAAAAGTTATAATTAATAGTCAAAACACTTAAACTCATAACAATCCAAATATTATGATTGGGTCCATTTGTCCTATGTCATGCAATAATATTCCTTTCAATAATTATCCTATTGGAAATAGAATTCTTGGATTTGATACCCATTGATAGGAGTAAAACAAAAGAAATATGTGAGATGAAAATAAATAACACAAAGTTTTTCATAGTTTTACACAATACATATATCTAAGTTCATGACTATACTAGGAAGTACTTTATGTTGATGTATCTAAAAGCTTTACAATATGTTACTTATATAACAACAGAGAGAACAATATTCCTCTATATGACATTATGAGAGACTAAAACCAAATTCCACAATATTCGTAATTCTTTTAGATAGAGTTTGACTTATACTATCGCTTAGTGTAATATTTTCATCATCGATTATCCTTGAAAGTTACTTGTCTCACTATAAAGCCTAAACTTATTAGTTGTGACAATCTTGGTTAACATATTAGTTGAATTTTGTGATT